TTTGTAAGACTCAATGTGGCCTGACAAGTACTAAGCTATAACAAAGATCTCCCTATTTAAATTGATAGAGGAGCTGGACCTTAACATAAAAAGAACACACAGGAAGTTGATCTATGTATTAATGAATGGATACTTCGAGATTGCTAGTTAAAAACCAAGAACAAGAAAGCCACAATGTCGTTTGGACAAACGTAATAAGATTAAACTTGTAAATTCGTGTTGTTCGGTCACCACTCAATGCCACTCTTTTCCGAACTTTTTGAAAAACTATCTCCAATTTTTTTGTTTTTTTATAATGTTTGAGGCTCCTTTTTTATGCACATTAGACTCCTACAAGCTATGTTCAAACCTGCGAATGTAGCACCACATATATCTTTCTCTGCAATCGTTTGGTGATCCTTTTGAATCGATTTTATTTAGAATTTTCTTGTTTTGCTCGTTTCGCAGGATGAAAATTCATTACATGCCTTCTCTTTCTTGAGGAAAATTCAAGACTGTTATCTTTTCTCTCTTCTATAGGGATTCTGTTTCGTACTTTCTCCAGCTCCTTAATAATTTCTTTGACGAAATCTGCCTCTGAGCTAAAAAAAGAAATGAAAAATAGAAAAGCTAGGATCGAATCTAAAAGGGCAGCAAGAATTCAGTTGGAAATTAAAGGTAGCAAATATTTCAAAGCTATGATCTTTTAGATCATATAGTTTTTAGAAAAAGTTAGAGAATCATGAGAAAAAATCAAGCATTTCGGAAGATTTATAGTAATACAAGCTAAAGAAAGAGAGTAGATAGAGAAAACTATCTCATTAGAGATCACTAGTTAGTGTGTCCTCGGCCACCACGACCTCCACTGCCACGGTTACCACGACCACCAACAAAAGTTTTATCTTATAACTCAAAAAGGAAGAATAAAATGCTATGCATAATAATTAGCTATTTTTGCCTACTTAACCTATATCTAAAAGGATGATAAACAAGAATAGAAATAAACATGATCGCAAGCAATTTCATATAAACAAAAAAAAAATTGAGGGGTTGCACAATCCGAATAAAGAAAGTTTACAAAACAATATACCTGAAATATGGTTATGGTTGAACATGCTAAATAATCTTCTTAGAGGGAGTTAAAGGCAGTACTCAATGTAGAGGTGTTTATAGGAAATATGGAGACTAAATTCTTGATTAAGAAACATATATCAATGAACTCGCTACATGTATTTTGGAGTCACCGAAAGTTTTCTTCAAGAAAATAGAATTAAAGTTTCCTACAAACATGGTACGCATGAACATTTAGAGAGTTATTATATATTATACCCTTAAACATCTTATTATCTTAAAAAAGAAAATTCTGAATTTTGCTTGTTCAATAAGACAGGATACT